GCTGCTCCTGCTGCTGCTGCTCCTGCTGCTGCTGCTGTTGCTGCTGTTGCTTCTGCTGCTGCAGCAGCAGTAAACAATTCCTCATCCAAAAACAAAGCTGAACGCCAATACAACAAACCCTAAACCCTAAACCCTAAACCCTAAACCCTAAACCCTAGAAAAACCCTAAACCCTAAACCCGAGAGAATCCAAACCCAGGCTGCAGCGTACCCCCCAAAACCCTAAACACTAAACCCTAGACCCTAAACCCCAGCCCCCCTGTTCTCCTCTTCTGCTCTCTCCCTCTCTAGGGTTTAGGGTTTAGGGTTTAGGGTTTAGGGTTTAGGGTTTACATTCCCAAACAGTATTGAGAAAAGAGAAGACATCGTTCTTCTCTTCTAGCGGCAGCGGCCAAGACAAGCAGCAAACACCACGAGCAGCAGCAACAGATAAAAACAAATCCAGGGTACCCTCAGCTGGCAGCAACGTCTGCTGCTGCTGCTGCTGCTCCTGCTGTTGCTGCTGCTGCTGCTGCTGCTCCTGCTGCTGCTGCTGCTGCTGCTGCTGCTCCTGCTGCTGCTGCTGCTGCTGCTGTTGCTGCTGCTGGTCGTGGGATTGCTGCTGCTGCTGCTGCTGCTGCTGCTGGCTTTGGCCCGCTGGAGGGACGCAGGTCTCTCCCTGTGTAGCAGCAGCAGCAGCAGCACTAACTGCAGCAGCAGCAGCAGCACCAGGTGCTGCTGCTGCTGCTGCTGCTGCTGCTGCTGCTGCTGCTGTTGTGCTGTCAAACGACGACTGTTCCTGCGCAAGGCCACTGCTACTGCTGCTACTGTTGCTGCTGTTGCTGCTGCTGCTGTTGCTGTTGCTGCTGCTGTTGCTGCTGCTGCTGCTGCTGCTGCTGCGGGCAGCAACGATGCGCTGCGAGAGCAGCAAGAGGAAGCAGCAGCAAACGTCTTTTATATCTCTTTCGGTAAATTCTCCTCTCCCTGGATATATAGTGGGCCGGTATACACCCCGCCATGCATCGCCGCACCGCAGCACAGCTCGCTGCTGCTGCTGCTGCTGCTGCTGCTGCTGGGGTTGCTGGGGTTGCTGCTGCTGGGGTTGTTGAGGTTCGGGTTGCTGCTGTTGTGTATCGGTAGAATGCGGATCTGCTGCTGCTGCTGCAGCAGCAGCTATCGATGCTGCTGCAGCAGAAGGAAGCAAAGAAGAATACATCTTTCTCAAGTTGTTGCTGCTGCTGCTGCTGCTGCTAGAAGTCTATTTCCTGCTGCTGCTGCTGCTGCTGCTGCTGTCAAGGATTTTTATTCTGCTGCTGCTGCTGCTGCTGCTGTTGTTGTTGTTGTTGTTCTGTGAAGGCTGCTGCAGCAGCAGCAGCAGCTGCTGCTGCTGCTGCAGACAGCAAGGTTGCCCATACCTATATGAGTTGCTGCTGCACAGCTGGATATCTGCTGCTGTGGAAAGGTCTCTCTTGCTGCTGCTGCTGCTGCTGCTGCAGTTGCTGCTGCTGCTGCTGCTGCTGCTGCTGGGGCAGCAGGGGGGTGGGAGGAGACCGCCGCTGCTGCGGCTCTGCTGCAGCACAATAGAAGTTTATATTAGCTCTTTAGCAGCAGCAGCAGCAGCAGTTGCTGCTGCTGCTGCTGCTGCTGTTGCTGCTGCTGCTGCTGCAGCACGTGGCCTTTGAGCAGGGAACGCCAATTAGGTATTAGTGTTCGCTGCTGCAGCAGCAGCAGCAGCAGCAACAGCAGCAGCAGCAGCAGCTACAGTGTTACGCCAACAACCAATTGTTTTTATTGTTGTCTTGAATGAAAAGAGAATAAAACAGGAGTCAATAGAGCAGCAATATGAGCGACAGCAGCAGCGGCCGCCGCCGCCGCTGCTGCTGCTGCTGCTGCTGCAGCAGGAGCAGCAGCAGCAGCAGCAGCTGCTGCTGCTGCTGCTGCAACTTTGCGCTATTTGTGGCAGCTGGGGAACGCTGCAGAGAGACAGGGATCGATGAATATCCTAAAAAAGAGAAAAGCTGCTGCCGTCTGGTTTCTTTAGTGTTTACCTGCACACCACTGCAGCAGCAGCAGCAGCAGCAGCAGCAGCAGCAGCAGCAGCAGCAGCGGCCTCTCGCTGTTGCTGCCATTCCGATACAGCTATATGGGAATTACTGTCTTCCCTTCGGGTGTATGTACACTGCAATATATCAGCAGCAGCAGCAACAGCAGCAGCAGCAGCAGCAGCAGCAGCAGATGCCAGTCGCAGCTGGTTGCTGGCTTCGGCTGTACATGACGACAACACAGCAGCGCAGCAGCAGCAGCAGCAACAGCAGCAGCAGCAGCAGCAGCAACAACAGCAGCAGCAACTGCCCTTCCTTCTCCCTTTCTTCTCGTTCTGCTGCTGCTGCTGCTGCTTGAGGCAGAGGCCCGTCGGCCGAGGCCCCGCTGCTGCTGCTGCTGCTGCTAGTGGAGATTAAGAGCGAATGGGAACAGCACTGCAGCAGCACCGCAGCA